AATCAAGATTCTATTTTTCTGCAAAACAGGATAAGAACTTACCCACTAGTTACATGATGCAGAACCATGCCTTTTTTCTTTCAATTCACAGAGGTTGAAAACCCCTGAAATGAGCTCTGAGTCACAGTGGAGGTTTTGCACTCTTACCTGTGCTTCTTGCAATATGAGGGCTGTGTCCTGCTCTGAAAATGGCTGGTCTGCAGGAGGAAGAGAAAAAAGAAAAAGAAAACTACAGCTCTTCAGAGTATGTGTACTTGAAAACCTCGTTTCAGCCATCAGTTTCAAAGGACAGGCACTCCATGCTGGGAATGGGAAGTGATGGCCTTGGAGCTAATGACACAGGCTGCAACTTAAGGGACAAAAATCTATCACCAGAACTTCATACACAATAAACACATTTCACATACACTAGGCCTTGAAAGAACATGAGCAAGCAAACAGCAAAATGAATTAAAACTTGTATCAAAAAGAGGCTGGAAATCCCCTGACCCCATTTTCACATGGAAACCACTGCTGATAACTGCAAATGTGCTACTGGAAAACACCACGAGCAGATTTTCTTTCTGTTGTGGTTTAAGAGCAGTAAAATACAGCATGGACTTAGCTTTACATGAGGGCTTAACCAAAATCCCATTGAACAGCAGCAGGGACTTAAATGGGATTTCCCCTGGTGCTTTTAGGTGTGCTGAGGAGGAAGTTTGTGCTTCCTGAGGTCCCAGGGATGGGGATGGGAGCTGACAGCTGTGTTGGAGGCAACTGGCTTGAGAATGCGACACATTGCATTGGGTGGGACACTGAAAATGGCTGGAGGGGTTTGGAAACACAAGTCTGGGATGTCAGCTCCTCAGGAGATTTATTTTTAGATGTTGATTTGCTGCCCTAACTCCTAGAGTGTATCTGGGGAGCCAGCTCTGTAAGCTTTCCCCAAACTCTAAAAGGTCTCTGTTTACACAGCAGAAATAAATAGCACTGTCACTGACACAGAATTGTCCGCTTCTAATGCATCAACTGTGACACATAACAAAACGTTATTGTGGCAATTTAAGCTATGATCTTGCTCCACTTCATTGCTTTAAATCTTTGACCTTTGAGACATTTGATTTTGGGGTTCTTCCTAAACTTCCTTACTTTATTTCTTGAGCCAGGAACTCCTTATCCTTTTTAGGCAGCATATGCAAGAAGGGGGGTGGATGTGCAGTTAAAGACTGTGTAGGTAACAAATACCTTCAAGGAACTGGCACGCTCAGGGAATTCTCTGCGTCATCCTGGGCATGTCCCAGATGCCTGTGACCATGCAAGGACGCTCTTCAGTCCGTTTGTGGTGGCCATGGCACCACCATGACCCCCAAACAAACAGCGCTGCTTCAAAACCCCAATCCAGTCCAGCCCTGAGCAGGAGGGTAAAGGCAAAGGAAAGTGCTGAGATATGGAGAGGTTTGCTTGGTTTTGTGGTACAGAAAATGAGGGAAGGAAACTCCAGATGAGGATCTGCATTAAAAAAAAGAAGAGCAGCTGGGTGATTCCAAAGCCCAAACCGGACACAAAAAATGTGATATATGACATGGGTTTGGTGAGGGGCTGTGCAAGGTCAGCCAAGGAGAGCTGTGTCAAGCTGGAACTCACAGATGGAAAGTGGAACTGCCTTCCAGGAAAGGGAAGGATCCTAGGGTAACATTCCAGGGCTCCCAAAGGCTGGGAGAGACAGGGAAGGACACGAGGCAGATGTTGAGGGGCTGACCTGAAGTGTGAGACCCATTCTGCAAGAGGACACACCAAGTGTGCAGATGGGGGTGAAAGGAGCAGCACCACTCCATGTGGAGCTCGGGCTGCTAATGAGGGGCTACCTGGGCAAAGAAGGACAAAGAAAATGAGTAATTAATTTCCTCGAGCAGTTGTGACTTTGAAGGAAAATTTTTGAAGGAAACTTTACCAAGGAAATTGGAAAGCTGATGGAGGGAAGAAGAGAACAGCTGAAACACTGAGATCAGAAACTCTGAAATTCGTGCAGAAGATAACCATGTTGGACTATGCCATTCCAAAGGGCAGAAATACAGAGCCACAAAGAAAGGATGGATAGGGCAATGGAAGCAACTGGAAAAGAAAACAGATGAATAACACAGTTTGTTCCTCCTGGAAGATGTGTCACTGACCTCAGCACAAAGGCAAAATGGCTAAAATGTGACATGCTCACTAAATCCAAGCCAGCCCACATGACCTCATGTTTAACATGAAACAATAACTGGAATTTAGAGGCAGGGAAAGCCAAATTAAATAAAGCCATTTAAAAATTACAGTGACGGTCATCCCTTGTTTAAACAAGCTACTAAAGGAAACAGCAAAAAAACGCCCATCACTTGACATTTTCACATAAATACTAGAAATATTTCTGAAAGATTTACTGAATTCAAAACATGGTATCAGGTTTAAGGAAGACTCATATCACTTATCACACTGGACAGCTTTACTAGGTGGTCAGACAAATGATCTAATACTACACTCTGCCCTTAAAACTAATGACTTTTTTTTTTTTTCAATTTACAAAATAGTACGGTTGGAGTGAACTGAATAAAGGAAATACAGGTAGTGCTGCCTTCTCCTTCAAGCAGAACAACCAACACTATGCATCCACTGAAATGAGAGAAGAAAACCCTTCAGTCTGAGGAGCGAGCTGGGAACAGATAAACTGCAGCAGTCAAGGTCATTTGGAAAGCCAGCCTTAATAACCTGAGGTGGAAACTGGACAAGAAAATAAGGCATTTTTGCAAAAAAAAAACCCCAAAATCCTGTAATTAGGGAAAAAGCCTTGAAGCTTGTTAAAAAGGAAGTTGAAGTGTTTTATCCCGAATGGAAAAAAAGCCTCTAGTTGTTGGTTTGGCTGCAATCTTGTACAACATTTAAACAACATTCTCACATTCCGGATTATAAAAAAAGAAGTTATATAAAAAACCAGAAGGACCCAAACACAAAACAAAAACCCCAACCCAAGCTGCAGAGACTCCAGGACTGGGCCTCTCCCTGTTGAGAGACCTTTTCCTAACCCCACTTAAACTGCCATGTACCAGCACTGCTTTAACATTTTTCCTTCCTCCACAGCATTTATTACTTATAGCCATTTCCCCAGCTCAGCCTTCAGTTTAAGCTGAAAATATCCAGTTACTCAGATTTCCTCTCCTATGAGTCCTGCACACCATCAGTGAATTTGAGAGCCCATCTCTCCTACGACTTCAGCTCAGTCTTTTGAAAATGCCCGACCAGAATTACTCAGCAAATGTAACAGGACCTGTGTGCCACCTGTGCCATTCTCAGACCTCCCAAACCCTGTGCCAGATCAATCTGCCACACACTGCTCCTTCCCACAGCACCAACCCACCAGGCTACCCTGGGCCCTTTTCCTGCTGGGTTTTTGTTGGATTTGCAGCCACCTGGCTTTGCATCTGCACAGCTGGCACCTTTCTGCACATCTTGGGCAGCACCAAATTCCTGGGCAGCCCCAGAACCTCCTGTCACCCTGCTGTTGACATGTTAACCTCATTCTCCATCAAGACCCACAATTCAAACAATGCCAGCAAAAGCAGCTCATGTTCAAGGCAGGCACATTTCTCAAACTCCTCTTTCAGCACTGCCTCAGGTCACCTGCAGCCTCTGCTGCCATCACCTTCTCCGCTCTGTACTGTCCCACCAACTGCATCCTCTGCTGGCTACACTTATTTAGCACATCCTTCACCAAACAGAGGAAAATCTCATCACCACCCAATAAAAGCAGTCATAAAAGAGAGAAGGTTGCTCTGGCTTAGCAGTCTTTTGTTTATTATGGGTCACTTTTCCAATCAGTCACGTAACCCAACTTTGGTTTTTTCACTACCTTTCAGATTTTCAGACCATAGCCCACAGTCAGTGTCCATCAGTCTTGTCCCTGCCCAGATGTTTTTTCCTTTCTGAAGCAGGAAACTGGATTACTCTGCTCCACTCAGACAGAGATAACCTCAAACCAACACAAAAACATTGAACATGCATTTCAGGCTCAAATCCTGGAAAGATTTTGTGCTTCTGAACTGAGCCCAGTAAGTGCACACAATAAATACCATTTCCAGTTCAGTTATCAATCCACTAGGAACAAAAGGTACTTACACAAGCCATGTCCAAACGATGCAAGGAACACTCCTGGTTTTTCCTTGGGAAATGGGGCTGCAAATGTGGCTGTCAGCAATTCTTGGCAGCCAGATGTTAAATGTTTGTTTTACATACGTTAAAGAAGCAAGTTCAGTCTGACAAAGCAGCATCTTAAAATATGAAATCCCACTTCAACAGAAGGAGATTGCATTTGGTTTTTTGCAAGTTTTTTGGCCTCAAAACTCTTAGAAGTCTTTGCTGGGATAACTTGCAGCTTTAGGGCTGTTTTCTGTTTTGTTTCACAGAGGGAACAGGAACGGTTTTACCATAAAATAAATTATAATAAATGACATTTTTAGCTCTAAATGTTCAAGGCAGAAAACTTCCTCTCTTCCATAGATAACATTTCACTGTACATTGTGCTCCCTGCATAGAGAGCCACAAATTCCAGTTTTGTGATTTACAGCCTCTTACCCTTTCCTGAACTGAGCTGGAGGCTCTGCAGGCCTGCAGGAATGGGGGCCAAGACTTCCCACAGATCCCACAAAACCAGCTCACCCTGTTCAGGTGGATGCTCTGTTCAGACCAACAGGGAAAAAAGAGACAACACACCACCAAGGAGGTTCATGCCCAGGGTCAGGTTTGCCCACCATGGGTTTCCCTCCTGAAGCAGCTGAACTTTTGATTTTTAAAAAACTTCTAGAGATGAAGGATGCTTTACTCAGGAGCACAGGAAAGGCCTGAACAGCATCCAGCTGGAATTTAACCTGCCTGGAACACACTTCTGCCTGTGCTCAAAGAAACAAACTCCTCCAATAAAGCAAATACAATTAGATCCTGCTGCAGCCTTCCATCATCACAGAACCAAATAAAACAATGGACACTTCTCGTGTTGGACTTCGGCAAAAGACATTTATTATTATTATTATTATTACTGCTGTTGTTGTGTTGCTGTTGTACCTCCTCTGCTCTGGCCACAGTGGTGGCGTAAATGCTGTTACCACATTGCAGCTGATGATGCCGGTGTACAAATCAAAATCCATCTTAATTTCAAACTCCATTAGAAACACAGGAAAAAAGATCAACATTTACGAAATGTAAAGGGAAAAAATGGTATGGAAAGAATTATTTTGTTTTTATTTTTCAAGCTTCCAAGACAGTATTACAAACAACAGAGAGCAAAGTAAAGCTAGAAATGAAATACTTGACAGCATCTGTTTAAAAATTACAGCTAAGAAACCTAATAAAAGTTGAATAAACAGTTACTAGAAATAAAAATTTTTACACATATGATATTTGTCTGGGATTTTTATTTCTTTAAAATAATTCATACAAATGGTTACAGTCACAAACATGATTTTAACCAAAAATATTGCTAGCCTACCACATTACCAGGAAGGAATCAATGTAGGCAATGAAATGCTGCTACTTTTCAGTAGTCTAGTGCCTTTTCCAGATACCACCAATAATATATACTTTAACTGGTGACAAAAAGCACAATGCTCGTTTATACAAAACCTTTTTGTTTTCCTCAAAATCTCTTTGCAAGGTTGTCTTCATTTTGAAATAAGGGAATTCACGCCAAAATTAGGAGAAACTGTTTTTCTTTTGTTTACTAAATTATTCTAAAAAATAAGACAAGCAGGTAGAAAAAACAATGCACTGTGTGGCATAGAAAGAAAAATGGGAAAAATTCATTGTCCTGAGAAGTCTGCCAACTGCCTCATTTTTGGGCATGTTTGAAAATATAAAAGAAAGGATTTTTAATCTCAAAACTGGTTTGCTGAATGCCTCCCTTATGTTTTTCCTTGTCGACAGCTAAGCAAACAAACCCTTTTTAATGTTCTAGAAACTGTACACAGACAAGTACATTCATGATATAATTAACTACTAACTTCTCTTGCTTAACAAAGAACCCATAGGACACAGAAACAGTGAATCAGTCCACTGGACAGGGACAAACTACAATTTATACGGAGGAAAAAAATGTTTCCGAATCTTCTTTTTGTCTCCCACCTTTTTTCCTTTTATACTGTATATTGGACCAGTTTCTGAAGCAATAATCGTCTCCTCCTGCAAGTTCATGGTTTTGCCTTGAATCCAAATCCAGGGTTTTGCTCGGAGCGGAGCTGCTGTCTCCGGCGCGGCGCAGGGAATGCTGCTGTGGGCTACAATTGGTCGCTGGGGTGCTCTCTATCAGCCTCTGGTTTGACAGTTTGGCCGGGGGAGGGCG